AGCCTCCCATAGTGCTTGGATTACAGGCCTGAGCCACCACCAATTGAAAAAAATATTGTAAAGTTTAATTAGTCATTTCTTTAAAAATATACTAAAACAACTCTATTAACCCATCAACTGCAAACTCCTGGAAGCCAATTTATTTTTTTACTCTTCAGCTTTCTTATGTATTTAAGAACAAAGAAAACGCAATGAACAATTTCCAGGATAGTCCAGCCACATAGGCTCTGACTTTCTCATCCTTCAGGACTCACAGGTCAGCCTCCCCACCAAACATGTAAACTATAGAGATCTAAGGTGTCCCCATCAAACATCTAAACTATATACCATCTAAGCAGCTTGAGGCTTTCACCAGTTGCCCAATCTTCCAGCCAGAAGAATTGTGAACCAAATAAACATTTTTTTCCTTTATCAATTACTCAGCCTCATGTATTCCTTGATAGTATAACTGAACACAGGTACGGTTGCTTACCACTCAAAAACCAAACTCAAGAGATGAGAGTTGCTAGGGGGGAAGGCAGATTCATTAGGAAAGCCAGAAAACTGAGAAGACGGTGGTCTAGAATTTTAAAATACCATCTTAAGGCAGTACAAATTTCAGGCTCTTTTAACATTAAGGACAGGCAGAACAGGAGGGGCTCAGGATTAATAGGTGACCTTCAACAGCAGAAATCTGGGCACCAGTGAGGATCCAAGGAGTTTGGAAAATTATTTGTTCTTGGTCAGGTCACAATGCTCCTATGAGTCTTTAATGAAACATAGTTGTTTATATCCTTCTTCTTCTTTAATCCCAGAGTTAGTTTTAAAAACTATATCATTGCTGTTTTTGCACATTATCTCAGTGCTCTAAAATAATCCCAACCTACCTGCAGGAATGGGTAGAAGCCCCATAAACCAAATGGAATTAGTTATGTTAGGTATTGTGCTGTTTCACTGCTACAGCTCCAACACAAAACAAATGCTTGTAAAGGGCTGCTTGCCAAGGAAAGTCTGGCTTTAACAACGAACAGCCATACTGCTTAGTATGGTTGTCTTTTGCTGTGTATGGTTGTCTATGGTTGGCATTACAAGAGCTGTCATTTTCCAGTTATAGTAGCAGAAGATTACATCAAAAAGTAAACGTTTACGAAGTGAAACTTGTAAGGAACACTGCTTACAACCAAGCAGTCCCAAAACAAACAAGAACAAATATGGTGGGCTTGCTGAGCACTTTCATACATTGTCGTGCGTCTGTATAAGTGTCATATAATTCGAGAATTTTGTTTTGCAATCATTTCTTCTCATTCATTCATTTATTCATTATCCAATCCACTGATTTCATTTCAGGACCAAGGGTGACAGGAACCCGTCCTTGCATATCAGGGTGAAAGGTGGAAATCCACACTGGACAGGATGCTATTTCATCACAGGACACATTCAAACACACACACACACACACTCACTGAGATTGGAGAAATTTAGACACACCAATTAACTTAACATGCACATCTTTGGGATGCAGGAGGAAACTGAAGTACCTGGAGAAAACTCATGCAGTCATGGAGAGAATGTGCAAACTCCACACAGACAATGGCCCTGGAGGGGGAGTCAGTTTCTTCTCTCATCAATGTTACAAGGAAATGACATTGAATAAAATGATTAAAGGATCTTCCTGTGCCCCTTCTGTTCAAGAATTGTCTTCTTATTGTTTGTCTTTACAGGAGGCTGGATCATGAGTGGAATTTAAGAGATCTCTTGGACTGCATTGGCCCCATGAATAATTTTCACTGCATTGGGACGACTTGCTGGGTCTGAGGGAGAAAACAAAGTTTGCATCTGGAACTGGACTAACGGTCATTATTTCCAGTACTCTGCAGGGTGCTGTAGTGTCACTGTTACCCATGCTGTGGACACCGATGTCGGCCACAGCTCCACAGAACTCTGTGTTCTCAGCATCCACTTCAATGTTCTCTCCTTCTGACAGGAATGATTTGAACAGTTGACTTAACGCTGCTCATTCATTTTGTTTCATCTCCTGAGAAGCTGCCACTGGTCAGTCTATGCTTTTAAACATCTCTGTCCTCCTTCCAAGTTCTCAGACTACTGCTGGCTCTTCAAACTTATTCAAGTGCATGATGTGTGCTTTCATTATTTGAACAAATGAGAGTCCTGTGCCTGGTGCAGTCTCTTCCTAAAGGACTCAGAACATGGAAGCTTCTAAACAGAGTCACAGATGAGCTCCTGCATTCTCTACTAGCTCATTGGACACAGGCAGGACACCCTTCATTTACTGCATTTTGATGCCAGACTGGACATTGGCGAGTCTACCCCCCTACAGCTCATGGCTCACCTGGCAGGAAGGGTAGAAGTAAGGCCACATTCAGACCCTTGCTTCCAAAGTTTGAAAAACACGGCTATCTCCAGAGGGTGCTGCATGGTGATGCCTCGTCATGTCTTCCTGGGCACCAGACACTGACCCCTTCCTCCCAACACCCCATCTCAGGTGGACTAGATGTTCCTGGGTGGAGGAGGTAGGCCTGGGAGCAATAAAACCTGGCTCCTCAGTGGGACATGGGCAGGGCTAGAAGCCCAGCACTCAGCACCCACACTACACCCCCTGCCTAGGTGCCTCCAGACCTGCTGCTCATATCTAAATACTGTACATTATATACAACAAGTTATAAACTCAGATATCAAACAGATATGGCTATAGAGACTTTTTAGGGAAGTGTGAAAATATGAAGCCAAGTCAGAACTTTTACATATAGTATAAACATATGTTTTATATTATATAAATTATGTAATGTCCATATTACATATAATGTTTTATATTAATGTATAAAATAAATATAATGAAAAAATTACATTAAAAATGTAAGCAGTGACCCAAGAAGGGAAGGGGTTCTAATATTTGAATGGCTAATTTGGCAAGCACAAAAGATAGAACCAAGTGAATTAAAAAAATATTCCTGTTCTCTTGCCCCTAAACTGATTCCTTATAAGTGGTAGAGGAAGAAAGGAAAAATGTTTTAAGATGTAAATTAGGCCCCCCGAAACCCATGAATAGAAGAGAAACAATCTAATGGTTGGGTCTCTAACCCCAGGCAGAGAGTAGAGAGATCCCGGCTAAACTGAACCCCTTCCCTGTTACCTGAGCAACTGACACCTGCACAATTCACAGGCATTTCCTAATTACTTCTTTAATTGCAATGTTGCCAAGATGCCTCTCTATTCTACCCTGTTGACACGTGTGGCAATCACGGCATTCTCCGAAGTTCCTTTATTTATGTCAGTGCTCTAACTACTGAATCAAGGTGGAACCAATGCAAGCTCATTTCTTATTCAAAGGGAGAGAGAATATTGTCAATTATAAAGTTGAGAGGAATGATCTGATAGGAGGAAAATATTCATAAAACTGACAACTTACTCTAAAGAGTTAATGTACCTTCAAACAGTAGAATTTTCCTGATATCCCGTGAAGTTCCACACTCAGATGAGGTGGCTCTCACCTCCAAGTGACCTGTAATAAGTAGAGGGCGGGAAGAGTCAGGAGGTCCTGGGAGGCTGCACAGGTTGGAGACAAGGGACACGTCCTGACTTTTTCTCTCCCCAGACCTCCCCATTGTCCAAAGAGGACATGTCCTGCCTGAAGCTGGGAGTATTACTCCTCTCTAAGATATGAAAGTTAAAGAAAAGACCTCATTCCAATATTTGGGTTGGTTCTTTCCAGGAAAGTTCCTCTTTTTTTAGTGCTGAAGAAAAGGTACTGTTAGAAGACAGACTTATACATAGAACAGACTTGTCCACTGTCTCTGGTCTTGGCAGGTAAGTGGCTCTCTCACAGTGTGAAGTTACCCTTCATACCCCTAAAAGTCAAAAAGATCAAGGAACTCAAGGCCAAAGGAAGCAGAGCTCCAGACATGAAAAGGACCCACCCATGACTCTTGGGGCTTCGTGAGGAAGAGAGAAGACCTCATGTAGTGGGGGTCTGTGGCACCATATTTTTTTGGCATTCTTTGAGGGGTCCCAGGCTTTCTAGAAGTCTTCTCTACATCCCTTTATGTGGTAGCCAGAACTCTGACATTTCTGCTTAGTAATTTTCCATCCACTGACCACCAAACGCAGAGGCAGGGGCTTGTTGATGATAAGAGAGACTCAGATGGAAGACTGAAGGAGGCAGAAGGAAGGAGGGACAGAAATAAATGGAAGAACAGTCTTATAGGAGTTGGAATGGGGAGGTCTTAAGCTTCCCCAAAAGGCCAGTGAAGTTTTACTTTTTTTTTCCCAGCAAAAATTATGCCTACAAGAAAGAAGCAAACAGAGGAATCAAATATATAATTAAAAAGGCTTAAGTTTACAGAAAAAAACTCCCATGGAATAAACAATATCCCAAGGAGAAAATCAGAAAGGTCCTTAAAAATGGTAGTCTTGATATTAGCTTTAAATTAAGCTAATATGTGACCACAGAGCTCTTTAAAAAATACTTATAAAATTTATTATCAGATTTCAAGAAGAACAATATTTCTAGTATTTGAAACTTTCTTTTTTTCTCCTTTCTTTTAAAACAAAGATACCTACCAAGTGACTCAGAACCAAAGCCAAGCCTTTTATGACTTAACCAAGAATGCATAAGACATCTTCAAAAAATGCAAAGATGTAACCCTCTCAAAATTCAGAACCACCTCCAAAGATAGCCAAAATAAAGAAAAATTTAGACACCTTGAGAGCTGGCAATAGTCAATATGTAAGCTTTTAATAGGATCCTCAAACTTTCTGTTTGCCCCTCTGCACACACCAAAGGGTGTCCTAACAGGCAGCAAGCCAAGTTAGGTTCTCAGAAGTCAAAATAGGAAAAGGATAGCTGTCCATTGAAGGGAAAGGATCAATAACAAATTGGTCCCTTAAATCCAAATTTGCCCATGAGAACAATTCAAACAAATGATTTTCTCCTGCTGACCTGCATTTGGAAAGGAAGAAATAAAGAGAAATTTTTACCTTTCATTCTTGACCAGACGCTGCAGGCAGAGATTGAGAAGTGACCTTGGTAAAAATTCTTATTTTTCCAGCTCTTTATCTGTTGTTTCAGGATCTCATCAGTAGGTGAGTCAGGTGCTTCAGACATCCCATCTTCATCACCAGAACTATAGGGGCAGAACTAGTGGGATCTTTTCGTTCCTATCAAAAGGGTCACAGCTGAGAAGCCTATAAAAGACAAGTTAACAAGAGAAAAGCATAACACATTTATTTTATCATAGTTTTATATATCATGGAAGCCTTCAAAATGAAGACCCAAAGTATAGAAAAACAATCAATTTTTATGCTTACATTTAGTGAAGAATGGACAGCTGTGTGAAACGTGATTAGACAAAAAGGGCATGATCTAATGTTGACAGGCTGAGTAGGGAAACCCAGCAAGGCCTTTCTGGTCAGATTCTTCTTGGCCTCTCCATGCACCATTCCTTCCTCTTGGGTTTGTGGCAGGGCCCTTTTTGGAATGGGGTCTTAGTACCTACAATCAAACAAGGTGTGTCAGAGATTTCTTTATGGCTGGTTCAGTTCTTACACACAAAAGTGAGGGAAAGTTAGAGTAATACTTTCAGATTTTATGGTGGGCTTTGGAGAAAAGGGGCTCCCTCAGGAGATGAGGGGTGACACACAGGAGGGCAGGAGATCAGAGAGAAACTTTGCATCTGAGGCTGCTTCTGAGATCTACACTTTGGGGTATTATTTTCTGAGCCTCGATAGGAATGAAGAACGAGATCCAGAAAAGCTGGGTAAGAAGGAGGGAATGGTGCTTTGTATTGGAATCCACAAAAGTATAGTATGTGTCTTTCACTTAGATTTAAGAAAATAAACTCTTCCAGATTTTTCTGTAAGATACCATTCTATATCCATTCCTTGAAATCAATCCTAAATAAAAATTTGTAAAAAGGATATAAAATTATATCCAATAATACAAACACACATTCTTCTCCAGGTACTACCTTCTTTCTCTTCTTCCATTCACAGATAAACTTCTAAAAGAAGTTCCCATTCACTTTTTCTTCAGCCTCTCCTCTTATTATATCTAGTCAATATATTCCAATCTGGATTCTGCCAAATTAATTCTGGCAAATCAGTCCTTTCTTTGCCTAAATGTAAAACATCATGTTTTAAACCTGTTTCTTCCCTTAAACACCTTATCACAATTTTCTCCTGGTTGTCCTCCTATTTTGCTATCATTTCATTCAAATGCCCTTTTCAGTCTGTTCACTACATTAAAATATAGAGGTCCCCAAGATTCAGGTTTTAATCTTCTGATTCACTACTCAGTTTCTACCAGGCCTCATCCATCCTCAGGACTTCAGGGACAAGGTATAGCCCACCTCCCAAATGAACATCTCCAGCCATGCACTCTGTAAATTCTAGAATGGTGCATCAGATTTTTGAGGCTGAAAGTCCTGAAGTTTCTGATTATGAAAAACACTTTCCTTTTGCCTATGGTGTGATTTTATGATACAGTTGAAATTAATTAATTGGTTGATTAATACTTTTATTTCTCCCTCAGCAAAAAGTTTCAAGACAGCTGGAACTATGTTTCCTTTATTCATCTTTCTATCCTGAACAGTCACATATCAAATGTTCAATACAGTGTGAATGAAATGAATGAATGAATGAACTTCAGGTTGCAAAACCAACCTTGGCATCAATTTATTGTGTAAGGCCAGGTGTGGTGGCTCATGCCAGTAATCCCAGCAGAGTGGGAGGCTGAGGTTGGAGGATTGCTTGAGGCCAGGAGTTCAAGGCTGTAGTGAGCCATGATCCTTCCACTGCACTCCAGTTTAGGTGACAGAGCAAGACCTTGTCTTTAATAAAAAAATAAAATAAATAAAAATAAATCATAAAACAGAATAAACAAATGCAAAAAGATCTGAGAGTAAAACTTGAAATAATAAAGAGAATAATTTTTAAAATAAAAAGTGAGGGGCCAGGCACAGTGGCTCACATCTTTAATCCCAGTACTGTGGGAGGTCAAGGCAGGTGGATCACGAGGTCAGGAGTTTGAGACCAGCCTAACCAGCATGGTAAAACCCTGTCTCTACTAAAAATACAAAAAATTAGCTGGGCTTGGTGGCACGTGCCTGTAGTCCCAGCTACTTGGGAGGCTGGGTCAGGAAAATTACTCGAACCCGGCAGTGGAGTGAGCCAAGAACGCACCACTGCACTCCAGCCTGGGCGACAGAGCGAGGCTCCGTCTAAATATCTAAATATATATATGTATATAAATATATATGTAAAGTGAACACTTTTTAATGTAATTAACACAGTGTTAAAGGTGAACATTTCATACAAGCAAAAATATTGAACACAATAAATGTAGTAGAATAATTAAGTACATAGGTAAATTAATAATATCATCCATGGTGAGCTACTACCCCTAAAAACTGGATGCTTTATCACATAGTTGCTTAACATTACCAACAACTATTGTGACAAATGTGATTCAATCATTTCATCATACAGGCAGAAAAAAAAGAGTCTTTTAAAATAACTAAACATACAGGAATATAATGAAGAGTGTCTATAGTTATCATTTCATTAAGATACAAGTCTGTTCCTAAGCTATTAATCTACTTGCAAGTTTGATGAAAAAGAGAAGGGTCTCATGATTTCTTGCTCCGACTTCCCAGTTACAGAGACTCTATTCTTTATTTTCCATATAGAGGTTGACTCCTTGGAAGTAGCTCTTCACAGCATTATGGAGTTGTAATGGCCCAAGAGAGCCTTTCCACCCCTAACTCCTGCATCAAACAGGGTTCCAGGACTTCCCAATGCTGACAAAAATTCAGTGAATAATTTATCCAGGTGAGTTTCATTCCAACCAACCTCTTGTGTTGAATAGGTTGACAATCTGCTGGAGTACCTTGTGAAGGACAGAGGTGGTCTAACCTTCTGAATCTTGCTGCCATCTATCAGAAACAATAGAAAACATTCAAAACAGATGAAATGTAAATCAAAAAGGCACTGGTTAAATAATTTATGATAGCAACTCAGAGGGCAACAATAGAATTATTTAAAAATACAGATGGGCCCTCTAAATACTAATTCAGGAAGATCTTGAAGTGAAAAAAGATGCCGAACAGTGTACCTGGTATGCTATTTTTTAATATAAAAATGAGAGTGTAATAAAAATATGACTATATTCTTATTTTGCATATGCATAAAGAACTAGAAGGATTTAAAAGACATAAACTTCAAAATTTGGAAAATGGAAGAAATTGTGTCAAAGTATACATTGATTTGTATGTCAGAATTTAAATTTACCACTAATTAAATAAATGCAAGCTAACAAAATACTCATAAAGGGAAAAGTCAGCAGAAGGGGTGACAATATTTTGGAAATATTGTCTTGGATCAGCATTTTACTAAATATCGGTAACAGGGCTAAAATTTTGCTACCAGATTATGTAAGTTCACTATAGATTCTATATAACAATGGAGGATAAGAAGGTACCTATTCAGGAACAAACGATGGGCAAAGGAAACTATATTATGTATAGTTATTGGAAAATTATGTAGGCATTTTTAAAATTGGGGAAAACAAAGGCATTTCAAGCCAAAAATTTAGAATATATCATTTACATAATAAAGTCACAATCTAGCAAAGAGACAAATACTTTGTGCTTGAAATTACAACAAATTCGAAAATATGAACCCAAATTGTAACTGAGGTATTTATTAAATAGTGTGGGATAATTATTGTTTTGTAAAAAACTAAGCATCCTCTCCTACTCTTCTATCAAGTTTTCTCTCAATTTATAAGAAAGCTGCATTTCACTGCTATTCAAAAAAACAGAAGCTAGGAAGTGTAAAGCTTTAAAAAATTACGCATTTGGGGAACGTAACAGCTCAGATATGCGAAAACCTTACATCAAACATGCAGCATAACATACGTGCACACATTCTGTTCTATTTAGTCCCAAGTACAAGGCAACTCTAAGACGCCGGGCTGGAGCCCACGCCCGACAGCACCGCTTCCCCAACCCGGCCATTCCAGGCTGCCGCGCTCCGCCTCCCCCTTCACCACCCCCACACGTCCGCCCACTGACGAGATCCGGAGGACGCGCAGCCGCAGTAGCCGCAACGGCCGCTCCCACCCCGGGGGATCCTGGGACTAAGCTTTCCCGGAAGGAGCCGCTCGGCGTCCGGGGCTAGGCGGGTGTTCCAGGCCCAAGCCCAGGCCCAAGCCCAGGCCCAAGCCCAGACGCAGGCCTGTGTTCCAAGCCCTTGCTCAAAGACTGATCGGTGGCCGCTGTGACACTCTAGGTACAGCGGAGGGCGCAGCAGGCAGCTCGCTGAGGAGCCCGGACTCGCCGCCGTGCCAGCCCTGGAGCCGCAGTACGTGGCGGCGCCTCCCCTTTGCCCGAAGCGGAACTGCTGAACGAGCGGCAGCGCAGGCCGGACGAGGTAAACCGGGTCATTTATCCGCCTTCAGGTCATGAATCATCTGCCTAATAATCAGATTTGAGGTCCACAGCCTTTTGTGGTCTTGCTACAGGGCGATTTTCAGTGGATGACTGACTGGCGTGGCCTGAGGGGTGCCGCAGTGACTGCCTTCCTTTGATAAGGAAACGAGCTCTCTATTCTTTGTGGACACCTCGTTGACTGTAAAACATTACGGTTATAACTTCTTTCTCCGGCTTGCATCTCTGTGCAGGAGGAAAGCCTTCACATGAAAGTGTCCCTTGGTAACGGCGAAATGGGCGTCTCTGCCCATTTGCAGCCGTGTAAGGCAGGAACCACACGCTTTTTTACCAGCAATACTCACAGTTCGGTGGTACTGCAAGGCTTTGATCAGCTTAGAATAGAAGGATTGCTTTGTGATGTGACCCTTGTACCAGGTGATGGAGATGAAATCTTCCCTGTTCACAGAGCTATGATGGCGTCTGCTAGTGATTATTTCAAGGCTATGTTCACAGGTGGAATGAAAGAACAGGATTTGATGTGCATTAAGCTTCATGGGGTGAACAAGGTTGGTCTGAAGAAAATCATTGATTTTATTTATACTGCAAAACTTTCTCTTAATATGGACAGTCTTCAGGACACACTTGAAGCTGCAAGCTTTTTACAAATACTACCTGTTCTGGACTTCTGTAAAGTATTTCTTATATCAGGAGTCTCTTTAGATAACTGTGTTGAGGTTGGACGAATTGCTAATACCTACAATCTTATAGAAGTGGATAAATATGTTAATAATTTCATCCTGAAGAACTTTCCTGCTTTACTGAGTACTGGAGAGTTTCTAAAACTTCCTTTTGAACGACTTGCCTTTGTGCTTTCCAGTAATAGTCTTAAGCACTGTACCGAACTTGAACTCTTTAAGGCTGCCTGTCGCTGGCTAAGGTTGGAAGACCCTCGGATGGATTATGCTGCAAAATTAATGAAGAATATTCGATTTCCACTGATGACACCACAGGACCTCATCAATTACGTGCAGACAGTAGATTTCATGAGAACAGACAATACCTGTGTGAATCTGCTTTTGGAAGCTAGCAATTACCAAATGATGCCATATATGCAGCCAGTGATGCAGTCAGATAGAACTGCCATTCGATCGGACTCCACTCACTTGGTTACATTAGGAGGAGTTTTGAGGCAGCAGCTGGTTGTCAGTAAAGAATTACGGATGTATGATGAAAGGGCACAAGAATGGAGATCTTTAGCCCCGATGGATGCTCCCCGTTACCAGCATGGCATTGCTGTCATTGGAAACTTTCTTTATGTAGTTGGTGGTCAAAGTAATTATGATACAAAAGGAAAAACTGCTGTTGATACAGTTTTCAGATTTGATCCTCGGTATAATAAATGGATGCAGGTTGCATCATTAAATGAAAAGCGCACCTTCTTTCACTTGAGTGCCCTCAAAGGACATTTGTATGCAGTTGGTGGGCGCAGTGCAGCTGGTGAACTAGCCACAGTAGAATGTTACAACCCAAGAATGAATGAGTGGAGCTATGTTGCAAAAATGAGTGAACCCCACTATGGACATGCTGGCACAGTATATGGAGGCTTAATGTATATTTCAGGAGGAATTACCCATGACACTTTCCAAAATGAGCTCATGTGTTTTGACCCAGATACAGACAAATGGATGCAAAAGGCTCCAATGACTACAGTCAGAGGTCTGCATTGCATGTGTACAGTTGGAGACAAGCTCTATGTCATTGGTGGCAATCACTTCAGAGGAACAAGTGATTATGATGATGTTCTAAGCTGTGAATACTATTCACCAACCCTTGACCAGTGGACCCCAATTGCCGCCATGTTAAGAGGTCAAAGTGATGTTGGAGTTGCCGTCTTTGAAAATAAAATATACGTTGTTGGTGGATATTCTTGGAATAATCGTTGTATGGTAGAAATTGTCCAGAAATATGACCCAGAAAAAGATGAGTGGCATAAAGTTTTTGATCTTCCAGAGTCACTTGGTGGCATTCGAGCTTGTACACTCACAGTTTTTCCACCCGAAGAAAACCCTGGGTCACCTTCTAGAGAATCGCCTCTTTCAGCACCTTCAGATCATTCTTAGGTCTAAGGTGTAATAACCTTTGCAGTACATCGTGGGTAATCTAATACTTCCCCTTCAGTTGTATCTTCTTACAGTGATTGGTACAGTTATTAGATATAAAGATAACTGATGTTATTTGTCTTGTTTGGCTTAGTGTGTTTATCAAATGGCTAACAAATGCATTCTGAAAATGTATTTAACATAGCTAGCTGTTTTAGCAAATGAAAAAAATAGATGTAGAAAAATGTTTAGATGTCTTCTTGTGATGTTATATAAAATTGTAGATGACTGTGGTAAATGTATAATTATGTCCATTATGCCTCAAAGTTGAGTTTTCATCTTTGACTCCAAAATGTCAGAGGGAGGCCACTCTAACCTAAAAATAACAAAAGGTTGCCGAGCATTAATAGCTACCTCCCTCTTTTCATAATTTTTGACATGTCTGTCAATTTACTTGATTGCGTGATTATATTCGGAATATTTGAAGTTTCTTACAGAAATAATAAAAAATATTAACTAGAAGAAAACAGTGTAGCACCAAGCCAGTATTTGGTACCTCTCTCTAGAGAGAGCAAAAGAGGGAGAAAGGAGAAGAAAATACACACACATAATACAAATATGCATAATTTAAAATTTGTTTGGCATTTCAACTATGCTGAAATTGTTTTTAAATTTAAGTTTCTTTCTTCCACAAAGCCGCCATTTCTATTTAAATGGGAACTCAATACCAGAGAATACATGTCTATATAGTCATACTGAATTTAGATAGATAAGAACTACAGCATACTAAATCAAAAACCAAATTTGTTATGTGACTAAATTGTTATTTCAGATGAAGCTTACATTACTTTTCTTCTGCTTGTAGATTTTCTGTAGAGTACTTTTACACAGATTGGTAAAAGTTCAGATTTCAGAGAATTGCTTTTGCACAGAAAATGTAGGCTCTGCTTTTTTCCACATTTTTGGTCAGTAAAACTTATGAAGAAAGCAAAAAAGAAAAAATATTTTGAAGAAAGCTATAGGGTTTTAAGTTCAGCCTCACAAATTAGTCATCGTAATGTGATTATTTTGCGATTTGGGGTGAATGCCCTGGTGCTCTTCCAGTCCAGCGCATTCTGAGCTGTGTGATCTGCCTTGATGTTATGATCTGCGCAAGCAGGAGATACATTTTCTTCTGCATCAGTGAGCAAAAATGTTGTTTTGGCTATGTCTGAAAGACAAGACCAACTTCAGATTCCCTAAGAAGCCAGCTACGGAGCATCTAGAACACTATGGTCTTAACAAGCAGTACTAAAGTTGACCTTCAGCCTCTTCAATACCAAGGGTATCTCTACTGGTTGAGAACCACGTAATTTTTTAATGGTACTTTATCAGCAAATGGAGTTACAGGAATTCCTTGTAATGAGTGATTCTGAAGAGGTACTTTCCTGGAATAAGTGTCTACCTGAAGAAAACAATTTTATATATACACATGTGTCTGTGTGTGTATACGTATATATATATGTATACACAAACACACACACACATATACACCTATACCTGGAAGATTGTCAGAGTGTACATCAGGAACAACTTTGTCTTTATTGACAATCCCATAATAAAACTCAGGAACCAAGGCAAAATGAATTGGCTCTAGGGATCTGAAACTTACTGCCCATACAAGTGTTGATTCATTTTAATGCTTTTTATGATTTTTGCATTTGCAGAAATTTTCATACTTTATATGTTTTTTTAAAATAACTCAGTTTTTATTACTAAAAATAGCACATTTGAATACATTTGAAAAATAGAAAAAGTAGAAATTATTGTTAACTTTATTGAATAAGCAAGAAGTACATCCCAAGCCTTTCTTGATTATTAATGAGCTTGAATATCTGTGTATTATGGGTAACTGTGTTTCTTTGACCAAATGTTCCTGTCCTTTTGTCCTTGTGTTACCTATCGGAGTTGCTTTGTTTTTCGTATCAAGTTATAGGATCTCTTTATATAATAAATGGTATTTAACTTGCATTTGCTTGCATTTCTGTCTTTCCTCAATCTATTATAGTTTTACAAAGGCAAGACTGTTGAGTTAATTTTTGCTATCAAATTTGTCTTTTTTTTTTTTGAGACAGGGTGTCACTCTGTCTAGTCTGGAGTGCAATGCCCACTGCAACCTCCGCCTCCCAGGTTCAAGTGATTCTCCTGCCTCTGGCTCCCGAGTAGCTGGGATTATAGGCGTGCACCACCACACCCAGCTAATTTTGTATTTTTAGTAGAGATAGGGTTAGGGGATAATTTTGGTGTAGTTTATATGTTATGTAGTATTTCAGTGCTAATTCTGACATGCCAAGGTGGTACTGCCCTGCTGATATTTTGTACAAGCTTTTCCTTTTCTTGAAAAAAATGTGCCTTTTATTATGTCTTATGTCTGACCATGGTGCTTCCTAATGAAATAAGTATTGCTTTACCAGGTATACTGCTCTATCTAGATCCCTACCTCCAGCTTCACACGCCCTACCTCTCCTTTTACTTTCCCACATTCTGCAGTTGACAGTTCTCTTGGCAATCATACAGGTTGCTGACTAATGAAATACAGGTTGAGCACTCCTAATCCAAAATGCTCCAAAATTCAAAACTTTTTGAGGACCAACAGTATGGCACAAGTAGAAAATTCCACACCTGACCTCATGTGACATGTTACAGTCCAAATACAGTGAAGACTTCTTAGTTTCATGCACAATATTATTTAGACTATTACATATAATTACTTTCAGGCTATGCGTATAAAATTTATATATATAATGTAAATGAAGTTTGAAGTAATTTTGTTTAGACTTGGGTCCCTCCACCAGGATACCTCCTGTCCATGCAAATATTCCAAAATCCAAAACACTTCTGGTCCCAACCATTTCAGATAAGGGGTATTTAACCTGTACTGCTCATTAAACCTGGTGTTCCTTATAGAGATTGAAACTGTAGGTGCTTGAAATGATTAACTGGAAAGAGATTTATTTTCATAAGCTGGTAATTTTTTAAAGAAAAGTCATACTGGGAAAATAGAGGATAAAAACTAAAAGCACACAAAGCGTTCTGTTAACATTTCTTGTTTTAGTTTTCTGATAAGTATTCAAAAGTTAACATTTGTTAGCTTTTTTGATATGTCTATTATAGAAGGTACAGGAAAATAAAAAGTAATTATCAGTGATTCCACATGCTGAAGATAACTTCTGTTAATACTGAGTATATACACACACACACACACACACATGCACACGCAGGCATTTGTCAAATATTTTTCAAATATGCCAGACCTTAAGCTAAAAGCTGGATAATGAAAACAAATCACCTTTCCAAAGATACAGACTCCTATTATCATTAAAAAATAATTTGTAAGTTTTTTTCTAATTATCAAATACACATGTATTTAGAAAAACAGATTTCATTTTTACTCAGATAAATCCAGACTTAAATTTCTTTCCCACTTGCTAACAGTAATATTTATGTAGTTGACCTACAAAGCAAACACATTTCACTCATGTTTAAACTTATATAATTAAAGTTATTTTGTTCTCACTATAAAAACAGTAAGCTCCTATGGGACATTTCTAAACTACATAAACATACCATAAAGAGAATTAAAACCAATGTCCCATCGCCAGCTCAACCGATTATAAACAACTGCTGAAAGATCGTGGGGTAAGTTTAACTCCCTAAAACTTCAGTTTTGTCATTTATGAGGTTGGGTGTGGTCATTAATAATTCCATGTATATCAGAGTTGTAAGGAGATGATATAAAGGGATTAGCATAAGATATACACAGAAGCAATCGGCGAATGATAGTTGTTACTAGTAAAGTTGGGATTTTATAATTTGACTTTTGCAGGTTATTGTTTTTGAAAGTGTTCATTTAGTGTCTATACAATATTTCATTCTATGAACATGCCAAACTATTCCATTTCTTTATGTGTAGATATTTAAATGTCTACCATAAATTTTTACCATAATAAAGCAACGTTTAATATTCTTACATAAACCTTTGCCCATATCTACTACCCTATGATAAATGCTAAGTAAAATCTGAATCATATAGCGTTAGCTTTTTTAGGGTCTTAAAACATATTTCTAGGATTGTACCAATAGGCATTTCTAGCAGAACTGTGTTCAGTAACTATTTCAAAGGAAATCTTAGCAGTTCTTTTTCTTTTACTGTATGGATTTACATATCTTTAATTATTAGTTACAATTTCTTGTTTATTGAAGATGTGTATTTTTCATATATGAATCATTTGCTCCTGTCTTTTGCTTTAATTTTCCTATTTGCTATAAATACTTTTATATACTCTATACTTTTTTTCTCAATGTGATCAAATATGTTCATCTTTTTTGTATTTTGACCTTTTGATGATATTTCTGCTTTTTAAATTGAAGGGGTATGTGTGGTGGTGGTGTTTATTATATTGTACTGATGTGGTATTACTTGTTCTTGATTCTATAGTTCCGTAGCTTTGTGAGTACTAGTTCTTGACATGTTAAAAGTGGCATTTACTACTTGTCTCCTGTTCAAATAGCTTTTCATTCTAGTTACAGTGTGAATGAGTTTTTCCTAAAAATTAATAAAATTTCCTTTTTATATTAAGATTAATCTTTTTTTTTTTTTTTTTTTTTTTTTTTTGTGTTTTTTTTTTTTTTTTGAGATGGGATCTCGCTATGTTTACCAGGCTGGTCTCAAATTCCTGGTCTCCAGCGATCCTCCCATTTTGGCCTCTCCAAGGGCTAAAATTACAGATGTGAGCCACTGTATCTGGCTATATTGATATTAATCCTTATTCTCTATTTATGGTAAGTATCTGCCCACTTGTTTTTTTCTCTGAGCAAAAAAATCAGTTTGTTTTACTCTTTGCGATGTAGCAGAATTAGTTTCTTTGTCATTTTTTAATGCTTTCTTGAATTTTTTTTTTAATCATTAGGTGGTATAATTATCCCAGTATTTTAAGCTGTTAATGATACAACTTTCTACCAAACTTTTGGCATAAAATCTAATGTATTTTTTCAAATTATTATCCAATTTTTTCATAACTGCTTTTTAAATGTCTTTCTTTCCTTGATGAATTTTTATGGTTTTAAAAAACATATTTGGGTTGGTTCCAGATCTTTGCCTTTGTAAACAGTGCCGCAATGAACATACATGGGCATGTGTCTTTATAATGGAACGATTTATAATCCTTTGGTCCACATATATACACCATGGAATACTACACAGCCATAAAAAGGGTGAGTTTATGACCACTGTAGGGATATGGATGAATTCTCAGCCAACTGACACAAGAACAGAAAACCAAACACCACTTGTTCTCACAGGTGGGTGTTGAACAATGAGAAAACATGGTCACAGGGAGGGGAACATGATGCACTGGGGTCTGTTGAGGAGTGGAGGGCTGGGGAGGGACAGCAGGGGTTGGGGAGGAAAAAAAAGTTTTAATCTTTACCTACAATAATGGAAAGTCAATAAATTATATATGAAAATAAAACTTAAAAACATATTAAATCATATATTATGGGCAATCAATTTAGAGTCTTTTTCTTCAGTTCCAACAATCTTTTTTCAAGTTGAGTTTTCTTCAATATATACATGTGTGTGTGTCTTTCTGCTTTGAATGGGATTTTGTTATGTTATATTCTGAACTCTTGATAGAAGTAGGAAATATATGGTTTTAGCGTATTGGTTTTCTGTCTACCAACTCTCATTGATTCTTCAGTTTTTTGGGTCAATTCTCATATTTTCACCTTAAATAACCATTATCTGCATATTATAAAAGCCAATTTCATATTATTTGTTTATATTAAACATTAAAGCATTGGTTCATACTTCCAGCAAAATTATAGCAGTGACCAAGGGATTGTGTCTTATGCGTAATTTTAATAGGGGTAATTCTAGTTTTAGAATTCCTTTGTTAAAGGGAAATATCCTTGATCTTGGTGATGAAGTTCCTTATTAGGAGTCTTAAAAAATTAGGGATATATATCTTCATTACAAAATGATTTCTGTACCAACTGATCCAAATTTTTTTTAGTACCAACCATGGGCTGAAAGAAAGGCTATTTTCTTGTCTATGTGAACAGTGTGTTATTAACTACCCATTTCGTCATTTATTTAGTAAAATTTATTGACATGACATTTTAATTTTTCTAACATCTTTTTTTAAAAAAAGTCTTTTAATTGTTTTTTATTGTTGGGTTAGAAAGCACTCATATTGCTGAGTGCATTGTCAATTAGTATACAGTTTAGAATGCAATTTGGCAAGCGTAGTAAAATGATTCAAGTTTCATACCTTTTGGATAGTAAGTATATTTCTATAATTAATAAGTGACAGAAAATAAGCCAAAATTAGTCATCTCAGCATGATACTATTATTTGCTTCCTAATATGACCACATTAGACCTTCCATTAAAATATTTTTAAATGGATTTTTAAAGATTCTTCCCACCCTAATTTTGATACCTTATCTGCATTCTCTAGTATTCCGTTGTTGAGCATATATTTAATGGCTGGATGATGATTATAATAAAAGACTTAGATATTCATTAAGGACACATAACAAAACTATTGAATTGTGTACATTAGCCAAATGCACTACTACACAGAATAGGTAGTTCCTCTGTAACACTCTCAGAACAATTGCTTTCCAGGGGCTACTGTTATTCAGCCATCTAAGTCTTTGTTTAGCTGGGTTACAGAAAATATATCTCCTTTATCAAAACAACAGTAATAGCAAAACCCAGAAATTTTGATAACACATGTGAAAGTTCAAGGTTAGCAGCTTATATCAATTACATAAGTGAATATTAAAAACCTTTGGTAATTCTTGGGGTATGGTAGATCAAATAAAGACAAGAACATATTTTTTATACTACATAAAATACAGATTTAAATAGCTGTGAGCTTTACCTATAAGTTAATATGCATTGAATTTTAAAATCTGCAATATTTCATCTGGATTCTAAGCATTCTTACCCACTACTTGCTTTTT